ACTGGAGACTCCTCAGGATTTATCCAACAATAAAATTACCTTTAACCTGAAATTATTGTTCTATCTCTCTTGCCTAAATCACCAGTGATAAACCTCTTCATTTATTATTGTCCAAATTAGAAACTTTTGCATATCATGTTGGAAGTCTAACTTGGTATTTCCCTGCACTAGTTTTCTGTCTCTATCTGATTTTTAAGAGTTGAATTGGATAGGTTGACAGTATAATTCTATAAGTCTTTAAAACTACACTTTTCAAGATAATTAAGATATTGTTGCAATATTATTACAGTTAAGGTTGTGTTTAGGTTTTTTAAATGATATCATACTAGGTTTGTTAAAAGATCATAATTAATAATTAAAATTTTAAGTAGTTAGCAATAAGCTTAAAATATTGACATATGTTTACTTCCATTTACTTCTGAAAGATTGAGAAAATAAGGTGTGCATAGATACTACAGGTGTGCAGGCAGCTAAAAAAAAAAAGAATATTAGTGCACTACATCTTTGTGTGAATTACTATAATGTAGCAGGCTGATTGGTGAGTCTGTCGCTAATGATCAAAAGCTCATGTAACCTGTGGATAGAAGAGTCCATCCTTCTATCATACAAAAACAAACAAAGGCAGAGGCATAAGAAGATTTGGGTGAGTCTTAAGGTAATTTTTCCTAAAATTACTTATAACTTCACTGTTATAACAATCTATCCAAGAGATTTGTCTTAAGATTCGTTGTTTTATTGTCATTGGAAAAAGCTATCTTTTTACATAGGGTTATTACATAATCACTATGACTATTCTAGTACTATGTCATGCATAAATTATTTCGTGGTCAGCTAATTTTCTATTACTTCAGCTCATAGTTTTTTACTTTTTTGACACGAATGAATTGTTCACGCATTCTTCTATCTTGTAGGCAATTGATTGTTTCGCGTAAGCTTCAGTCGTGTCACGATCGCCGGTCACGTGCTTACGGCGAAAATTCTGAACTCAGTCTGACTTATTTGGCCTTTAACAATAGGTAAATACAGTAAATTTGAATTGTACAGTAATTACCTGGGTATAACACCGTTATGTGGTACTGTAAGTTAATGCTTTCCACCTGTGCGTGGGCCATTGTAAGTCAATGCATTTCACCCGTGCATGGGTCATAGGATACAGGAGTGGGCACCAGTGCGGCTAGACTGCACCGTTGTGTGGGTCGTCTTTTGGGGGGATACTAAGAAAAAGGCAATTCTTTGCGCCATCATGTGAGCCGTCGGCGGGCTTTCACCTTCTCCGTGTGATACTCACGTAAAGGTAATGATGTGGGGATAGTTTGTAAGGGTTAGATGGAGGATAGCATGATGAGATACTACTCTCATCGTTTCTTCATGCGCGCATATGTAATTTTAAAGAATAATTTATGAATTTTGGTATGGATTTCCAATAGAGAAATAAAATAATATAAACTTAATACCGAGGTCTAACATAAATATTGAGAATCGTTTGAATCGTTTCAAATAAAACTTTTTCTATTATGTAATGTCACAATAGGTATCAAAAGTAATGCATCGTTTTATTTTATTTTTCATTTGCATTTCTAATTTATTATTATTATTATTATTTTGTTTCTCGACAAATGATTTGTAGGGGCACCTTTTGCATTCAACACTGTTTGGATTCTATGCGGCATCGAATCCTCAAGATAGCTATTTTAAGCGTTCATCGATGTTTCATTTTATATAGATTTAAAGTCTAGAAAATTAGCCAGTCAAGTTATAATTCGAATTTTTTTCTCTTCGAAGCGTTTTTCAACATCTTTTTGCAGTGATCGGGGTATTGATTTGTTAAAACTCTGTACTTTGATTAATTAATGAGCGTGTGCGATATGTTTCTACTTCGATTTTTCCTTTTTTGTATTTATCACAAAGCACTAACAGATCTTTCTTTTATTTCACCTATAAAGCATTCCCAAATCATTAACGAACATCCGTCATATATACAGTACACAGTGTATTTGCATTGATTGTTTTTGATATTAAGCTAAAAATTTATCAATAGTCTATTTATTTATTCAACTTAAAAGACTGTATATGACATAGTATACTGTAAATTAAAAATTTTTTAATAATTGTTAATCTAGTTTAAATAGATATGCAGTATTCTTTATTAGTAATAAACCTTTTTTAATTAATTTTTATTCTTACTTTTTTTTTTTTAATAAATAAGAATTTTGAAGAAAATTAAATAACATAAAAAATGATATTGTATGTATAGAGTATATACTGTACATTAAAACGAATTTATGTTATACGTTTTAATAAAATTTTTGGTTTTTTAAAAAATTTACTCGTATAATTGAAAAAATTAGAAATTTATTAAATTTGCATAAAATAAATTTAATTTTAAAATAAAAAGTAATTCCTTATATTTCGAAGTTTTTAAAAAGCACTATTTATAAAATAATAATAATAATAACTGAACTTTTTTTGCAATTGACAGAAACAATACCTATTTTACATCTATTCTGAATAATTTTTAAAAATATACTGTATATATAAATTGTATTATTTTAGAAGTTTCAAAATTTTTTGCAAATGGTTTTTTATACTGTATATAATTAAAAAGATCGATAAAAGAGTTTTATTGTAAATAAATAATATTCGATTTATGAAAAACTAATTTAAAAATTTCAAAGTTATTTTTTTTTCTATAATTTTAATTCAATAATTATAATAATCGGTTTGATATGTTTGTATACTGTGAATATTTAATTTCACAAGTTTACACACGTAAATTGTCATGTTCTCTTGCAATACGTAACTTAAGTGGCGGTGTATAGTACTTCCTTTCCAGCTATTTTAATGGTGCATATTATATTAAAAAATATATACAGTATATAGCATATACAGTATACAGTATATTTATTTTTTTTTATACAATTCATCCAAGGGGCCGCTACTAACCGGTATTCATAACCATGTCTATCAAATCATGCATTATAATCACGTAGTTGATTAATCAAACGCGTACTCCTTTGTAATTTCATAAATACAGTTTAATTGGTGTACTGTATATCGATCAAGGTGAAACAATATCCTCCGCTTCTCTGGAGAATCCACTTCTATGTAAGATCCAGAACAATCTTACTCAATGGAAGTCAAGCTCGATAGCAGTCTTTTATCTTTAGATTCGTTAAGCTCCTGGATTTTATTTTAAGCTATAGATTATTAAAAATGAATTGAAAAATTGTTATTAACACCTAAACAATAACCTTAAATTGGACCGATCTGTTTTGGTAAGTCAAAGTTCTAAAAGAAAATTGCTATTAAAATAAGTAATTAAACGGAATAGACATTTTTGTCAGTTAACCATTGTGTCTAACTAAATATCGTTTATTGAATTATTAAAATTAACGGTGTGATGTCACCTCAACGATCAGACTAGTCGATTTTGCAATAAAAATGGTAAGTGACCCTTAATCACATTATGCGTTAAATGAAAGAGATCGGCGAAATGAGAATTTACCCAAAAGCGATTGAAATACTGTGTAATCGTGATTTATACGTATGTAGTCAGAGCATAAATAAAACCATCTTCGATAAAAAGGCGGCCCTCCTCTGTCTTTAAACCTTGACCCTTGTCCGTGCATAATTTACCGTATATTCATACATAATAAAAAATGAAAAATATAATTATCGTACTATATAATACAATCATTCTCTCCTTCTTTCTAAATTGGTTGCAGAGAGGCACCGCAGCACCGACAGGGAGCATTCCATGCGATTTTAGCAGTTATATTGGAAATAATCCGGATGAATATGTTCCTATACCAGTTGATGTCGTCCGATCGTGTCTTACTTCGTTTCCATATGACCCGAAAATTGGCAATGCGGTTAGTCCAGTATTAATGGTGTTCGCCTTTTTATTTCTTGATCATTTTAATAACCGAATTGCATACAAACGTAGCTTATTGATTCAATCGCGAAAACGCTAAGCGAATATTACGTGTTTTTAAACTCTGCGCGCGATAATCCACAGCAGGGCAATACGTACGATCCGATAGACATTGTTGCCAGCCTTAAGGGGTTACTGGGGCAGAATTTTAATTCAGATCACGATTTCACGGTAATTACGTATTGGGTGTAGAATATTGGTCCCATAAAAAAGAATGCCCGATTTCTAACTAACCAACTTGTTTATTCATACAGATGAGCGTGGTAAATACATTGGATAAGTTAAAGGATGCCAACACGTTGCTATACCCCTCTTGTTACAGAAATTTTATGTTCGTTCAAGGAATAGATCTATACTCCGATGTCGATTTGCAAGGAAATCAGTATATCAAAATTTTGCATGACCATTTAGGCTCGCTTGACGATTGTCAGGTACTGCAGATTGATGGTGTACCCGCAGTCCAAGCTATTAAACAGTTTGCAAGTGAAAACGTTGGGCTTGCCCGCGATCTCGGAGTTCGTTTTAATATGGCACTTTCTTCACTTTCGGCCGACGGAACAATGGACTTCTCTAATCACTTTAGCCGAAGACAATACCTGCCACCGACCGACGGAATTACTTACTCCTTGGTGTGTCATGCAATCTATGTAAATATTACACGTAACTGGACGGCTTGTGGAAAAGTCGAATCAATAAGCTCTGTTGGAAGTTCAAATGAATACTGGGATCGCAATTGCCTACCAGATTCTCCTGCATCGCTGCCAAAGCAACAAAAATTGTCGATAACGCCAAGATCAGGCCAACCACCACCACCAGAAGAGACTATTTGTGAAATAATTGGTCAAAGCGATGTAACAATAAATAACGCCCAATTACTGCTTGACTTGGATACAGCAAAATTCTATCAGTTAACAGGTCAGAATGTTGGTATAATGACGATGTCTTCCATGGATAAGGTGGACTTTAGGCGAGGATTCCAAGAATTTATAGATAGGAGTGTAGAGAAGGTATTATTACCAAATTGTCTTGATCATATTTGCTTTTCTTTTTAGTTAATACTGTACTTGACAAATTCTTTTAGGTTATCCTTGATCTGACCAATATTGGCGGCGATTATATGTATACGCCATACGACCTGAACAATCTTCTCTTCCCTCAAACCAGAAACTTTTTCGAGGTCGATTTTAGGCCTAGCAACCTCATGCAACAGGGCATCCAAAAATCCGACGATGCAAAATTTATCACTTACCCTGGTAAATGGCTCGATCCGAAGACAAAAAAATCGTATGATGATGCAGCAAACTTTATTGGCAATAATACGTATACCCGAGGTGGCGTGTCCGAAAATTATACATCACATTTTATTGATTTGAAGCTATTCTCGTCTCCGGAAATCCCCACACTCCCGTGGCAGGAGACAGACTATGCTATACTAACGAATGGAGTTTGTGGATCAGCTTGTTCGTTAATAGCTACCCACCTCGCTGAGGAAAACAATATTCTCACATTCGCCGTAGGCGGTTTTGTTAATACTCCGATGGCATATACATCCTTCACTGGTGGAAAAGTATATTATCTTAGCTCTCTTCTAGGGGAACTACAAGATCTTGGCCTTAGTAATGATTCCCTTGCCCCGAGTCATTTGCCAATAAGTGGGGATCTAACTTTTGCTATTGGAGAGGCGTACAATACGATAAACCCAAATGAAGTTTTAGAGTTTTCTTATCGACCGGCAGCAAGGCGGTTGTTTTACGATGAAAAAAGTTCACGGGATCCGAGCGAGTTGTGGGTAAAAGTTGCAAGCACATTGCTAAATCCCTAACTCGCCGCAAACGTATCACCTACAGCAATAAAAAAAAAAAGAATTTTTTAATTAATACATAGAAACTTTATACGCATTAAATAACATATGTTCACTTGAATTTTAAAACCTTAGTAATTTGTAATCTATTTTTTTTGTATATACGGTGTACCACGATTGATATTTCAAATTGTCCTGCATCGCATTTTTTTTTTTTTTTTTTTTTTTCGTTATCATCATCCTCCCTAATTTGGCTGATTTTTACATGTTGCATTAAAAAAAAGACAAGGCACAAGCTACAATAAAGGTAATTTGAGAAGAATTTAAATTTTCCAACCGTACGCACAGTACAGTATGTGGTACATATCTAAAATTCGTCCTAAATGATAATAAATACTTTCCTTCTATATATTCACGAGGTGATATTGTACCATATTCATTCCATAAACTTGAATCTTCTTTTATCAATAAGACTATGAAAACTGAACAGGATTATGAATCTTCTCTTGAAATCTCAAAAGTGGGTGATAAAATACTAGAAGCGTGGTGTACTATCGAAGACTTGGAAAAAAAACGACCGAATGGAGAACTTTCCAATATCTGCAGAAACATTACAAACCATGCCATGGTTTATTTTGAAAAAATCTTTCCATTAACGAAACTGTCTATTAGCAACATTAAAGATACTTTAAAATGCTATGCTGAATGTGGATTTGGTGAATTTAATTCTTTACTATATGATGAAGAAATTAATAAGGACGCCACTACACTAAAGGATGAAGCTTTTTATGTAATGATGCTTCACATGACGATCCAAATGAACTTTAAAATAGAGGGTAATCTCTTGCTGGAAAATAGGGACATAAATTTGGTCGCTAAAGAGATGACGGAACAAGCACAAAGTATTATAGATGATTTTATTTATGTTTTGGAGAAAACGGCCGGTTTTTTTGCGATGCTTCATAACGAATTGGTTGGGCTTCATGTCTCGGATGAAAATAATCTTTTTATAAGAAAACTTAACTTTAGAAAAGTTAAACATAAGACTGGTTATATCATGGAGCAATGTGATTCTTACTTTAGGAATACTAACAACAGTATAGTTAGCATTCGTTCGGGTAAAGAATACAATGAAATTAAAGAAAAAGTCAGTGAATATCTTAAAAATTGGGTTGTTAATACAAAAATCGTAAGTGACTTTGTGCGTGAAATGAAATTCGAAAAAGGTAAAATTAACATGCTTTATTTGGGACGTATGTTATGTAGGAAACCCCAAAAAACTCGTAAACTTTTAACTAGATTTCTTACAAATTGGTTTAGTTTTAAAAGAAAAATTTATTTCTATATATAAAATATATATGCTGTATACTGTATCTTTATTTTTTTTTTTAAAAAAAAAAAAATTCACTAAAAGTTCAAACTGGTTATCAATATACTGTATATGCCTTACAAATAAAATTTAAAATATTTTAAATAAATAAATTATTATAATTATTTTAATGCATAAATCTATTAATTAAATTTTTTTAAAATTTAATATAAAAATATACAATTAATATAGAACACTTCTTTCTACTGATTCTCTAATCATATATTAAAAAGATATTCACAAGAAAGATTTTGCCCTTTTTTGCTAACAAAGTCTTAATACTTTTCTTAAACCAACTTACCTTCAAGAATCATCCTACCCTTTCTCTCTTATTTATATTCTGCTTCAAACAAAACTTGACTTTTTGTAATCTGAAAAATTAAGTAACACCTTTTTTACTGATAGCAAAAAAGTTTTAAAAAGAAAAGGAACTGATGTATTATTATCTTACACTATAAAAAAACATCACAAAGTCATATGTGAATACAAAAAACCTATCTTTACCTTTTAATACCTCTTGTTTCTAATAGTACTTATTTCTAAAATTTTTTAAAAATTTTTTATTTATCTCAATTGAACTCTAAAATTTAAATAATACAAAGTTTTTTATATCATAATTAAGAATAACAAAACATGTCAAGAAAAGATACAAACAAGTTTCTATTTACATATTCAAATAGATTCATAAATACTTAAAATTTATCATAAATCATTATTGTTAATATATAGATAGATAAGAAATACTGATAACTTCTATATCATCAATTAAATAAAAAAATAAGAACATATACCTCTTCTTATTTAATAAAAAAGATAAATAACAATAAGATTCAAAGAAATATAGAATAAGAACTATGTCTTAAGATTAATATGTTTATCTTTTATTAATAGGTTATTGAAAACTCAGATAATTTTTGAATTGTTTAATTTAATTATTAATATTATCTTGTTATTACAATTAAAGTATCCAAAGAATATATAATAACTATAAACAATGATTCAATTTTTAGGGATAGTAATACTTTGGAAAAAACAATATAATACTTATTAAGTTTATTAGAATATATATCAAAAGTATCAAATCAAAAAAAAAAAAATTATTTAAAGAACTTATTCCGCTGATTCACAATTTCTTAGAAAATTTCCTTTTATGGTAATTTCTTGAAAAACTGGGAAACAATTTGAAAAACACAAAAGAAGAAACAACATAATTCTTCAAGACACAATACCAAGATACAACAAATCACTTCAAGAACTATACTGGTAACAATTGTAGTTATTGTACTAAC